AGAGCATTCTTCATCGATAACAATAGATACCTTAACCTTGAAAGCCTAAGCTAAATCTCGCGATTGCAAAATTGACACTGATTACGATTATTGATTATTTTTGATTAGTAAATGAATTATTTTTTACGAGTTAAATAGGACTTTATTTTCTGCAGGTGTTGGTTATTTTTTTTAAAAATTCTTTATTAGTCAAATCGACAGTAACTTAGAATATTAGTAAGAGCTCAACATTTCTGTTAAATGAGACTATTAAAAATCGGAAAAATCGAATCTAGTATTTACAAAAATAGGTCTTTTTGAGTGAATGATACGTACAGAATCACTTCAACGCAAATATTGAAACTTTTAAAGATTATGTTTATTTATACAGTTAGTGCTGATCATTTGCTATAAGGATATCTTATGTGTTATGATTTATCGTTAAAAACATAACTGATATGCAAAAATAAAGTCATTATTTGTGTTATTATTTTTCGTAATTTTTTAAGCATTCCTAAATATTTTTATTCTACATATTTATTATTATTTTTTTTAAATAAACGTTTTCAAAAGAAGTAGAAATAATACCAGGCAATTGAAACTTGCAAACGTATGGCTTGAGGATTATGCCTTAAAAATTGTTGTAAAAATAAAACAATATTTTGAATTTTTTCATCGAATCATCGATAGTCGACATGTTCAGCATGCAGTAGTAGTTGGTTATTGGTTATTGCAATTAAATAAATTTTCAGGCTTGTGTGCTCAAAATGGGCTTATACACCTTTGTCAAGTAGAAGAGGACAGATAGCACAAGAGAAGAGACAGTACCAAGTAGTGCCGCCTCCAACTCCTCCATGCAGTAATATTTACTTATTTATTGAAATTACATACATTTGCAGGCTTGTTTGCTCAATTTAGACTTATTAACCTTTGTCAAGTAAATGGACAGATAGAACAATTTAGAGAAGGACATCACAAAGAATACATCCAGGGTTATGACGGGACTCAAACCCGCCACCTCCACGCTTCACACTCCGAGCTGTATCGGGCGATACAGCTCGGTCAGGGAGGCCCCAGTATTTACTTATTTTATTGCTACACACATATATGCAGGCTGATGTGCGTACAGCTAAGCCCTTGTCTAGTTGAAGAATAGATTTCACAAACTAGAGTAATAGTTGTACTATATTTACGTCGCACTAGAGCTTGCACAGTGGATTATTTGCGTTTGGGAAAAATCCACAACGATGATCCGAAGACAGGTATCACAAATTTTATTCTTTGCAGATGGATGGCTGTCCCACTTTGATTGCCCGACGATCAACAGTGATGTCGAGCACTTTAGGGTAAAACAGTTTAACGAAGATCGATATTGCACAGCCTCGGTCCCTTCAGCCTAACCAAAATGGACACCTATCCTCACACTAACCGCTGCCAATGTTGAATGCCGGTGATCTGCTGGGAACTTTGAAGAAATTATAGAGAGGCATCACAAGATATGTCCAGGGCTGTGGCGGGTTTTGAACCTGCTACCTCCAGCAGAGCATTTGGTTGTTGTTGTTGTAGTTAATTTACGTCGCACTAGAGCTGCACGATGGGCTATTGGCGACGATCTGGTAAACACCCCTGAGGATGATCCAAAGACATACCATCACAATTTTGATCCTCTGCAGAGGGGATGGCACCCCTGCTTCGGTAGCCCGACGACCTGCACGCGAAGTCGAGTACTTTACGGTATAACAGTTTAACGAGGACCAATACCGCACACCCTCGGTCCCTACGCAGAGCATTTGGTAGTACTTATTATTATTTTTATTTTTTTTTAATTTTCTCACATAAGTGGGTTTGTGCATTCAATGCAAAAAACGGCTTTTTAAACCATCGTCAGGTACGAGAGAGATGACACAAATAAGTCAAGTACAGACACAAAGATATAGTCAAGGTTGTGGCAGATCCCTGGAGGATTCGAACCCACAACCTTCACGCTGCAGGCGTCCCTCACCCATAGAAGCTTTCATTAAATAGTTTGACATACCTTTCCTTACTAGTCGACAGGGCTGTGTGGTGCTCAGGGAGCTGACCTCACTTTAGGAAGGTCCTGGGTTCGAATCCCGGTCGGAGGCATGGATGTTCTTTCCTTCTTCTCTCTATCTTACTCGTCCAATGTTGGAAAGATTGACACAAAGATAAGTCAATACACCTGCCCTTCTGGTAACCGAATGACGAAAGTCCTGGTCTTCCTCACAATTTAACGTAAATGGGGGTTAGTTCTATCAAAAAGCCCCCCACAAAAGCTAGTTTGTCCCAAGGGGTGACCCAGGAGTTCCGTTGTCTTCTATATTGCTTTCAAGATACAAGGCTGCGTAGTTGAACATTGATTAGGTTGGAAACTTAGAATTGGGTGGGCTGTTCAACATCGGTTTTAAAATATAAAATAAAATATATACGGATGGTCACTAGAGAATTTTTTTTTCTTGCAATAGTTTAAAGCTCTCAAGTGAATCTGCTTTACATCACATTAATGAATTAACAAAATGTGAAAAGTTTTAGAAATAAAAATTGGAAAACTTTTCTTTGCTGATCACAATGTTCAGGGAAAAAAAAACTGTAGTACAAAGAATCTGTTTTTGCAACTTGAAATATTTTGCCTATATATTAGTTGACTTATTTAAATTTCAGATTTGCCTCACGATCCATTCTGAAATTTCCTAGTAGTTTATTAGTAGCCTGCAGGATTAAAAACAGTAATTAAGATCGTTTCGATTTTTATTTAGTCGAATGCACTTTTGAAATATCCAGAAGAAAAAGAAAACATATTCACATTAAACGATTATTAAAAGTTGAGGTTAATTGTATATAAAATAAATTAAGCGCACTTTATAACTCTTCATACATCTTTAAATATCTATTATATTTAAATCATGTTGATATTTGCACTGCAATAAACTTTTTTTTTCCCAAAATGTTTGAGTGCCATGATTATTAAAAGCGCTCAAGAAATTATTTTGTCAGAAATGGGATAGAAAACAGTACATATGCTGGGTTCCCACGACCTGGAAAAAATAAATGGGTGATAGCTAAGATTACTGAAAAATGATTACTACTTACTGAAAATTCACGAGTCATTTTCAGCACCCATATATATTTCCTTTAAATTAAATATTTATTAATAATTTAAAACTTCTAGACATATAACATTTTCGCTACCACATTAAAAAATTTTCCAGATCGTAGGAACCCTGTTATGATGCAACCAAAATGTAGGTAATGCACTGTTTAGGCATTGTTAATGCCAGTATATTGTAGATTTTCGCTTGTTTCTATAATCAAAAAAAAAATTTAAATTGTAAATTCTTACATTTTATTTAGAATTTATATTCATAATTGTTCTTCATTATTTTTACATATATTATACCAGCAGATAAAAGCTGTTCTGTAATTTAGTTTTTAAAACAGTGTTTGCAATTAAAATTTATTCCATATAATAAAAAAAAATATAAACAATATTTTTATATATATATATATATATATATTAATAAA